CAATATCGTTATTATCACTAATTAGTTATTAAAATTGATATTTAAATATCTTTATTATTACCATACTAATATTATTAGTATTGTTAAAATAAATATTACTATTAATGTTGTGGTGTTGTTGTGTTGTTATTGTTATCACCTTTATTATCGTCATAATGACTAATTAGTATTATTAAAATAAATATTACTAATTTATTGTCGTTATTGTTGTTAATTATTATTGTTGAATTAGAATGTTGTGAGTAAACAGAAGACGAACACATTAATAAATAACTCTTTTTAATTCTTAGGCAATAGCATTCAAATCTCTTTTGGTAGTGTGGTGGTCCTGTTTTACTAAAATATATTCGTACTTTATTTCAATCATACGGTAATTGAAGAAAAAGGATGCAAAAACTGAGATTTACATTAAAGAACTTGTGGCCGAGTTGACTTGTGGCCGAGTTGACTTGTGGCCGAGTTGACTTGTGGCCGAGTTGATTTGTGGCCGAGTTGACTTGTGGCCGAGTTGGCTGTAGCCGAACTTTTTGTGGCCGAGTTGATTTGTGGCCGAGTTGACTTGTGGCCGAGTTGACTGTGGCCGAGTTGACTTGCGGCCGAGTTGACCTGCACCTACCCTTTTCGTAGGTGACTACTTGAAAGTTTATTCTTATTCTTATTCTTATTCTTTATTGCACAATAGAATAATCTGGATGGGAGGGCCTGGTCTCTAAAGTAAACTTAATTACTATAACAATTGTTTGAGAACCACTCCCATCCAGTATAAAAAAAACCCAAAAAAACATCATTAAAATGTAAGATAAAATATAATAGACAACACATCAATTCACATTACGATCAATACAGAGAATAAATGGCTCTCGTTTTTACTTTCAATGACGTGTTTATTTTTAAATCATTTTAAATGAATGCGTCATAGTGAGTATAGTCTATCTGTAAAATAATATTCCGTTTGAAGGAAAAACTAAAACCTAAGTTATATTGGTTCTCGTGATGGAAGGAACATGGAAAATTAAAAGGAGATTGAGAATGATGAAGGTAAAAATTAAGATAAATATACAGAAGATAATGAAGACAACAATTAAGATGACACTAACGATGACAGCATATTTAATATAAGGGGGTAAGGTAGGAGAATAACCCATAACTCGCAGCGGCATTATGTTGAATTGCGTATGGACGTGGTCCGTGACTACCTGGAGGAGCTGATGCATTTGAGGTAACTACATGTTTACATTCCACGACAGGGACTGAAAAAGAACCAAACATTGGGGTAATCCCCCTATACTTCCGACAGATGCATCATGACTATATATGTGTATACAACAAACAGGTCAAATTAAAAATCATCTAACCTTTCCAGTGTGTACTGCTTGAAGCGAAATCCATAATCAACATAGAAGAAGTACGATGAAGGTAAACATCATAAGCAAATGTAGACAATATATATAAAAGGCCGATAGCCGACAGCAACGCCAGATAGTTGTTATTGAATCTTTTATCGAGTCCAGGAAGAGGCGTCGGTGACTCTAATGCCAATGGTTTACTACCAGCAGCGTAGCGTATAATAACAGCAGCATTAATAATACCAATTCCCACGAATATGACGACAAGGCAGTATATTCCACTCAAAATTCTACTTGCTTCAAATCTAAAATATATGTTCAACAGTGGCTTTTATGGCTATACAAAAACGTATGGTTTAGATAAACATAGACAAAGGTACTGGTGCGCATGGTACCATGTAAACAAAGCGTCTTTTCTTTTTTGCACTCCCACGGACCCAGTCGGACACCATGGACCCTTGTCATCTTACGTCACTTCAGTTCGTAGGAGCAGTGGCATATCTAGGAATCCTGAAATGGAGACGCAAGTATTTGGGGGGAGGGGGATGCGCCTCCCACGCACCCCTAGAAACACCAATGCGTCGGACTAAAAATATAAATTCAGTTGTTTTAATAAACGTTATTGATCTCAGGTCAGCTCCTAATATTATACTCCGCTACGATCCCAAACTGAAAGAGGGATTTACTCCAGATCCAGGCTCAATTATTCATAAAAATTTAAATTAACTTACTTATTAGAATCCTCAATATTTAAACTCATCTCATTTAGATGCTTTCTTGAGAAAAGGGACGACGATGAGGAAGAAGTCGATGATGAAGACGATGATGATGATGATGATGATGATGATAATGATGATGAAGCAGTGGACGGCGAGTGTAAGTTGGTGGGTAATGACGTAGACGACGGGGATGAAGAGGAAGATGACAGCTCGATACTCAGATGTCCAAACATGCCAACTAAGATATGGACGCTATTTTCAATCTAGCAACAACCAAAAAATACATGATAAGGTATCCGATCAACAATCAATTAATTAATTGCTCCATTTAAATAGCGCCATTTCAACATCCGGAAGGAATTAATTACAAATGCATTCACTACCATATGATATATTTTATCACGATCCCCTCAGGATCACCATCATTATCATCATCGTCATGATCATCATCATCATCATCATCCTCATCATTTTTATTATCATTGTTATTATTACTATTATTATTATTACTATTATTATTATTTATTATTATTATTATTATTATTATTATTATTTATTATTATTATTATTTATTATTATTATTATTATTATTATTATATTATTATTATTATTTTTATTATTATTATTATTATTATTATTAATATTATTATTATTATTATCATATTTAATCGAATAAACGCCCACCCAAGAGCCCCATTTGTAATAAACGCCTTGGGAGTTTATTTTTTCCTCGAATAAACTGTAAACAAAATTAATGGAGGCAGCATCATTCTCAAGACACACTATTAATATTCTACACCAGTATTACATTTTTAAACTGGTTGTGATAAAGGAGTTTTTGATGACCACGCAATTCTGATAGTAATATGAGTTGTATTTCCACATTTATAGTGAAATTAAGGGGCGTTTATTTAAGTTACATATTCGTTTCACGCCAGAAAAAAACATATACACCTCCCTCTAATTAATGCCCCTCGCAAACCATTCACAACAATAAACGCCCCAGGGCGTTTATTTGAATAAATACTTTATCCCAAGTTTTGTATCTAGTAGTCTTTCTCTATTATTGTTGTTAGCTGTCGGGAAGACACAAAAGCAACAGCTAAAATTTATTACCATATAGGCTCCGTGCATCACACATCAAATTAAATTAAATTAATTTAATTAAAAACATGAAGACAATAATAGGTACACATATTTAAAACAAAATGAAAAAAAATCTATAGGCCTAATTTTTTTTGTTTAGATATTCCTATATATTATTTTAAATATAATAATTGTAATCATTTAAAATACAAAATAATTAGCCTAATAAAATACAGTTTGTAAAAATAAGAACATTTATTGTTAAACTCATGTTCTTAATAGTATATACATTTGAATACTAAAGAAAGGGTGAGATAGTAAATAAACTATAGGCTCAGTCAGCCGATCTCGAAAACGATTTTTTTACTGAGGCAATGCTAATCGGTAGAGCAGTCCAAAATGCTCCGTCTACGTCGCCTCATCATCGTCTCGTGAACTGCCGTATACTGACTTCAGCCTTATAACTTACATTACAGAGCATTACCTTATTCTGTTTGATCAAAATTTCAATATATAGGCCTATAATTGATCATCCCAAACTATTCAGTTGTGCGACATGTGACTAGGTCCTACAGATAGGCCTATATGTGTTCCTATTCTTATGATTTGTCGGGCCTAACCATGTCAACTTGTGTTATAAGCCGAGTTCACTTCATGTGACCTACTTCCTTTATAATTACCAGGAGTATTATCTACATTATAATTATGCTTATTTCAAAAACCTACGAGCACAGTGATGTACCGGTAAGCATTACGTCAGATAACGTCGGGGATTTGTAACCTACCAGTCTGAAAAATTGTAAAAACATAGATCATCAAAGTCCTGATCTCATGAAGTGAATATAATTCCACATTTCAGCTTAATTGAGGGAACAATAATGCCGATATTTACTCTGGATTTTTAGCTGTTTTGAACACTTGGCATTGTTTACACAGCCAAAGTTTAACTATAAGGCCATGTAAAAAAAAGTTAAGCTGTTGATCGTCCCCTCCCTACATGAACAAAAAAATATCACTCAACCAAAGGCCATGTAAGAAAAAATGTTGTTGTTCGTCCCTTTCTTACATAAATAATAGGGAGTTGTTAGAGTGTATAAATTCCACCTGATCAAACACTACACTTTCAAAGATTCATCAAATTAAAATGAGGCATTGCTGTCCACCATTAAAAATGTGAAAACTTGGCATGTATCAAGGGGGTGGTTTCATATATTTTTTATATGGCCTCAGTTTCAACAACTTTGTCCTATCATCACTTTTGACAGCAAGGCAGATCGTATGACCTCTAGACCTTAGAGTATATAAATATATAAAGGTTGCTGCATACTAATATGAAGTGTCTAATCTATGTATAACCTTCCTATTTTGATCTACAGTAATATGTTCAATATATCACTTGAGAAAGACTTAAAAGTCATGCCACCTTAAAGGCTACTGCGCATTTAACTCCACGTCTGTCTCTTATACACATCTAGATGTGTATAAGAGACAGATACTGTACCCTATTATCAACACAAATAAATTTATAACGTTCACCACCACATCCATGTGTTGTCTAGGAGAAATATAGTAACCTGACTCTAGGGGTCTAGGCCCAGTGATAAAATTCCGTAGATTTTTTTTTGTATTTCAGTCTGTAATTAGACCAATTTTCTTTTAGTGGTCAGAAATAATTGATCTATTTTATCAAGACCTTTCACGATGCTTAATATACTAAAGGGTAAGCGAGCGCACCCTCTAGTTGACAAAAAAGATCATCCATGGATATGCAGTACTTACACTGTACAGCACTACCTCAAAATGCGAAGCAGAAGGTTGGAGACGCGTTTGATGCTGAGCAGGAATTACTGTAACTGTATGTACAATATAATAATGATACAATAATAAGTGAGCGTTTCAATATTACTTCAATTTTTTTTTCTGTTGAATAATTTTATTGCTTTCGACCTATGGATCTTTCCGCAAAGCCCCGCCTCTTCAGCCGAGAAAGCTGCTTAGGTTTCACAAAACAACGCCATAAAAGCGAGTAGTATTTCTGGCCCAGTTTTAATTTCATTTGTTAATTTCGATTTACACTGCTGAAAGGTCATTCATCATTTTTTCGTATTTCTGATGCAATTAGTTAGTATGAAAAAATATACAGTGAATAGGCCTACTAACACTTAAACACAGCACCAACACCCCGAGTTTTCTTCCTTTTGGCTAAATCATAATTGAAGGCTTCGGTTTTTTTTTCTCTTTAGTGGGGATTAAACCCACTTTTATTTCTTCTTTTCTCTTTGATTTTCATAAATCATGTCATAAAATATCCGTTTTATATATTTACAACAAGCTTAAAAATGCAAAGGCTCATATGTATACCATAAGCTTATAAATGAAAAGGCGCATATGCATACAATTAAAAGACAATTTTTTTACGTGCGTGTAGGCCTATACCTTATCTACTTATATTTGTATTCATTTACATTTATATTTGTACATATTAAAAAGGGTCAGTCCTGATGGCTGACTAATCAACGCATTCTTAATATTTCTTAGTGTATTCAATATCAAATAGTCTTGACGTGGAATCCAAGTTCCATTTACAATTATATCTTAAAGTACGTGCTTTGTATAAACAAAATGTTCCAAGACTGTATATCATATTTAATTTTTTGGTTTCAGAACCAAGTACAATGTTCGAAAAAGCTGGTAAGTGATCTAGGTTAAATTTGTTTTTTATAAAAATTCCACATACTTTTAGCTTCTTTACATTTAAAAAAATAATGTATTTCATCGTCAAGTACATTACATTCAGTGCACAGATTGTCGTCAATAATTTTCCATTTGTGTAATAACTTTTTCTTGTGGGTACAATCATATGTAATAATTTAAAGTTTAGCTGTCTAATACGGTTTAGCTATTTAATACGGCTTCGGTTTTTTGTCAGGAAAGTGCTGAGCAGATTTGTACAACTAGTATTTACAATTAGTATTTTTAAAGTTTCTCTCTGCCCCCACCCCCGCTGGTGACATCTGCAAAAATGACATAGGTTTTAACGAAAGTGCACGGTACATTTTTAAATTTTATTTTAGAGCAGGATACCATTATACTCTGCCCACAAAAATCTGAATTACGATTCGAGTGCGCGTGCCTTTATTATAATTTGAGAAGTATGAGAAAAAGCGTGCAAATAAAAAATTGATTTTCGGCACACAGCTTTGAGGTAGGTCAAATAAATTAAGTACATCCAGAGGTGGCGCCAGCGGGGGGGGGGCGGGGCAGGGCCCCTGTCGAGGATAGCTGCCCCTCCCCGGGGAGAAAAAGCACAATTGCACAATTCGTCGGGGGAAAAAAATATGTATTTTCTATAGGCCTATAAAAGTATACTCTAAAATCTATAAAATAGGCCTTTGTAATCCATAAATTGTCAAAATTTTCAGGGGTTTCGCCCCTTCGACAACTTTCAAAAAACCTTTTAATTGAAGCTCGACCACGCCCACTTTGCTTTCGTCGGCGAAATCTGACTCCCCCGTTGGGGAATTCGGCCCCCCCTTCCCAATCGGGAAAATCCTGGCGCCACCCCTGAGTACATCAATGAAAGTGTTTCTTTAGTTATGGTACATCACTCATAATTATTAGATCTCTGTGATTGCCGAAAATCCTGATTAAAATTCATGAGAAATTTGCTGGCGCTTCATCTAGACATGATGGTGTGATGATGATGAACTTTACTATATACAAGTGTCATTTCCGGCCATCTAATGTACTATTTCCTCAAATTTTCTCACCCACCCCAGCCCCTACCATGGTATCGAGCTCTGGTGCCAGGAAATTGCACTCTCATACCTTAAAAATCTTACCAATAATTCATATCAACAATATAATACAACAATTATTTTTCTTAATAGAATTTAGTGGGGGGGGGGGGGTGCGACCGCACACTCTGCACCCACCCCTCCCCAATCCCCCAGTTGACGATGAAGGCGAACCTCAGCCGGATTCATGGCCTTGTCTTTTCTTTACTTTACTTTTCTAGCTCCTGTCGTATCAGACTTGTTCCTACTCTTCTGATGATCTCCCGCAGGCGATTTTTTTCCCGTACGAAACATTTACATGAAACTCCACTCGGACTGTCTCGACTGAATCGACTGGGGCCGAAAATCTCATATTGCAGAATTCAGGAGGTCAAAAGGTCATCAACAGATAAACGACTACAAAATGCAAAACAACTTCTGAGAGACTACGCGCTGTCTGATTTTTAAAAAATACATTGATGTTACCATGCTAATACTAATGGGTTGTTTAAAATGACATATAATATTTGATTGAGCTGCACGAGTAATGGAAAGTGTTATTTGAACTTGAGTTACATACTGTGACAATTTTTTTTTTTTTTTAGTTAGATCTGGGTTTTGCATATTTACCTAGGCCTACTAACTACTAAAAATATACGCTTTCAGGGGAACGCACAAAGAGGAAGGAATAGCGCGTTTCTTTATCAAATGAAACAGGGTGACAGTTATTTTCAAATTAAGAGAAGAGCTGAGAATAGGCAGCTCTAACATACTGGATGCCAAAGACCTGCCAAAATGGCAGAGCACCAATGAATGTATAAATGAGGCCTAAGCCTAGTTATATGGTAAATAGTATCTGCAGGTTCTTGATTACAAGGCCAGACCAAGTTAATTAATGCCGAATTGATTATTATTTATTATTATTATTCATTATTATTATTAATTATTATGTTACTAAAACCTACCTTAGGAACTTAGACAATGGAGAAGTTAGAGAACATTAAAAAAAACGACGTTAAGGGAAAATAGCACAAAAGATATTCCCTTAGGCTAGTTATTAATTATAGGCCTAGTAAATAGGTTCTTGATTACAAGGCTTAAGCCAAGGTAATAATGTTGAAATGATTATTTATTGTTATTATTATTATTATTTAACATTAATTACATTACAAGGATAGTTTGGCCAAGTTCAATAACGCCGGATGGTATATATTATTTATTATTATTTAATAATATTTCTCTTTGCACTCTATTTTTTATTTCATGCTTCAATTTTCCCCCTTTTTTCAAAATTTCAATCAACGTCATGTGAAGCGTGACTGTTGGTGTCAGCCTAGGACCCTAGCCTAGGGACCTAGGCCTAGTTTAGGGAGGGCCTATGGTAGGTAGGACTTAACTCAGCCTGCTTTATGCCTGTAGTTTATCTGAATTCGTTCTGTCAGCCTTTGGTGTACCTATCTACACTTTATAAAGGGGGATACTAGCTGTTGTTGCAGATATTATACTAACATTTAATAACATACAAGAAGGTCACAGTTAGTTACACCATGGAGGAAATATATTAATATATTTCCTCCATGGTTACACACGTACATCCCACAAATCCGTAAGATTTCATAGGCCTACCGTAGGTAAACATAGAAAGAGCAATAAAAGTAAAACTCGAGCGTCACGACATTGCAAAGTGTCTGCTCTTGTTCCTCGTATCAAACTCGAGTCGAGTCAATCCGAGATGGCCCGAGTGAAGTTTCATGCAAATGTTTCGTACGGGAAAAAAATCGCCTCCCGCAGCATGTTATTTGTCTTTCAAAAATTATATAAAATGTTTAAAAATGTACTTACAATACACTGAACTACCTCAAAGTACCAGCAGTTGGATGGTAACAGGTTTAATGCTTAACAGGAAGTAAAGTAACTGTACACCTGTGTATGCATAGTTTCGTGATTTATAAGTCTATAGTCTAAAATTATAAGTGGCCTAATAAATGCTTCATTTTCACTTTCTGCTTACAGAAAAACAATCAAAATACTGTACTGATAATATTTTATGTTACTTTCAACCATGTTTCAACTATGTATTTACAACTCGTAGACTTTACTGGTATTCATATTTGTTTACAAGAAAATATATATCAAATGATAGATAAAATGTAACAATGTCTCGTCTCTTATTATCTATTATTAGTTTAACAGTTTGACATGAAGTTTTGATTTTGTCTGTTGAATAAAATTAAACACTAGTGATATTATATTTTCATGGTCTATGCTAAAACAGGTAGAAAGTGCCTTTATATTATCGTAAAAACGAATGTTAAATTTTTGGAAGCGTATTTCTCATGGTAAAGAAATTAATTTTTTCTTTTTATTATTTAGATTATTTTAAAAAGTGTTCGATTCTGGTAAATATAAAGCAGCCTGGATTTGATGAGTGAGGTATGCGCAATCTCTTTCTTGAAGAAGATAATTAAAATAACACATGGATTAAGACTGAATAATATGGCAATGCAAAGCAAATCACATGAAATAAATACAAATATATTGTGTGTAAGTTATAAATTTTTAAAACCAAATTGTGATTTGCCCGATATAATAAACCTGTGTAGATTTTGTTGTGTGCCTATTTCTGAATGTCGATACTTGCCGGAGGCATCAAGTGAACTACGTTCACTTTGTGATACAAAGACGTAGGTGACGAATTTCACTATGTTTTAAATGTCCTGCTTTAATTGTTCTTATAAAAAATACATAAAACAATACTTTTATATACACTCAAATTTCAGAATTAATTTAAAACTTGTAATATTAAACAATTAGACATACTTGCTCATTTTGTTACCGAAGTAAATATTTTAATTTAAAATACTTCATCTCATTTTTGTCTATTTTATTAAGTTTATTTGTACAATAGTTCTCATATCTCGAAAGAAATAAATAAATTAAAAAAATGAAAATGAAATAAAATGGACTTTCAGCAAAACCCCGCCTCTTCAGTGAATAAAGTAGGCTAAGGTATCACACAACCACAGCTTGTATTCGTAAATTTGTGTGTGGAAATGCAAGTATTCCTGGTCCTGTTCTGATTGTATAGTTCTTAAAGCCCCATTCCCGGCAAAATTTCACTAAAAAAGATTTTTTTTTTTTTTTTTTAGAAAAAATGCATATGCAATACTCTATTTATTATAAACAATGGAAAAATATTGGCATAAATTTTATGAGATCCACGCTGAGGGACTTCGGGAGGAAAACTCATTGAATTTTGCTACCACCCCACCCCCTCCCCCACATTATTATTATCATTGCATTTAACCATGTATATGTTATGTTGTGTGATGCCTATGATGGCGTATCCGGCAATAAAATAAATTGAATAGAATGAAATTGAATAATAAAGGTTTTTTTGTGTAATATAATGTATACTAAATGTTATTATAAAAGAAATATTTCATGACAAATCCAGACACACTACAATAAATACACACCTCTGCATATTGAAGAACATAAGATTAAACTCAAAAACAAAAACTCCTGTTTATTAGGCAGTAGGTAGTTATCCTTCATATTTTAAATGTTTAATATATATGCACAAATAATAAAAAAAATAATAATAATTAAAAAAAATTTTTTATACCCCATCGTTCAATTATCTTTACACAAAAAACGGGCATATTTACCAATTGGCCACATTTCTCCTGTTACTTATAGCCCGTAATATTATACCCCTATAATAACAACAACCAGAGGATACAAAGATATGGCACGACAGCAGGGCAAGGGCTTGTAATCTCAGATTGTCTTGTTTAGATTGTTTTAGCTGCCGTATGTTTAAGGGACACAGTTACTTCTTTTCTTATTAGTAGTAAACACTTTGTTGTCGGATGGAATGTTTCCCGACAATCATTTAAAATGTCACGAAGTGTACACAGAGTGAAAGATGTATAGGGGGTTCGTGGGTGGGGGTTGGGAGCACACGCCCCTCCAAAAATTTACTAGGGGCCACCACCCCCCCCCTAAAATAAAAAAATCCACACTGTGTTCAAGTGGGAGTCTCATGTTAAAATACTATTAAAGCATCATAGATGGTAATGCCGACATGGATTCATAACATTTAGTTCCAAATGTCCATGCACGTCCTAGTCTTCTATAATAGTTCACGATGCTCTGTTTGGTATGGTGGTAAAGATTATCAAAGACAAATAATGTCTATATTGATCCATTACACGCAATTAAGTGAAAATATGATCGACTGTTTCTTTATATTACAAGAACATAATTTGCAAAAAAAAAAAATTACTTTCTAGATCTAAGGATACGCGCTCTAAATAGCTAAATTCCTTTGAAATATCTTTAAGAGGTTTTAGTGCACTTATTTTTTATACAAATACAAAATTCACATTATTTTGTCCCTGTAAATTAAAATTTTCAATTTGCCTATTCCCACCCCGTTATTGCTCGGTCTGAGTAGCAACACATTTACTATGAGTGTTTTGACGGAGAGATCTCAATTCATTGGAGGGGTCTGATGTTTCTTTAAGCGTCCCGTGTAATATACATTCTGTCATATTTGAATTGAGTAGAACTATTGCTGTAATTATTATTACTTATAAAACCTAGGCGATTGCAGTTTTTATACTCTAAATACAGTAGAACCCCTATTAACATGGGAACTCTTTTTTTTGCCTGAATATTGAGAAAACGTAAATATTTTAACATTTTGGCCTATCCCTGTTCAGGAAACACTCCTATTAAGGGGGCACATTGTTGGTCCCCAATGTGTCCCATTAGTAAGGATTCTACTGTATAATAGGCCTAGTAATATGCTGATTACAAACTGTTCTCCTAAAATCAAATACTAATTAGTTTATACTGTAAAATGTACATGCACGCATAATGCAATTAGTTTAAATCATTCCACATGGGTTCATTACAGCCTAAATGTACAATAGACCTAAGTTTAAAGAATATTACAATAAACATTAATTTTTATCTTGCTTCACCTCATTTTATATAAATTAATACATTGAACCAAATAATGTCCAGATTTCAAACAGGCAAACACTTGAGTGGAAAAAGTAAAGAATCAGGAACGGGCCAGTAATGTGATGTATTATGTACCACATATATTTTCCATATAATTGTGCCTCTGTTCTGAATAAGGCCACGAGTTTTAGTTCATAATGCTCGCCAATCCACAATGCAAAATTTGAAATTGATAGGAATATTAACAAATTCATATTAAGACGATGTCGTCTTGATCGGTCAATTGAATGTGTTTGCCAGATAATTATCAGAACTGTCTGAAATATGGGAAAGAGAAAGTAAAGCCAAATTGCAACAAAAAGCAAATAGCCATGTTGCATGTGTGTTGTTTTGTATCCGATAAAAAATGAAACTGTCGTATACATTGTCTGTAAGATAAAGAAACTAAGACAAAACATTAACAGAACTCCATCGTATATGACACTTGAAGTTAATTCCTCTGGTTTTGCGCCGCCTTCGCCTTCTCTTTTTTCGAAAGTATTTGTGTTTATCACACAAATCAAAGAACAAACGGAAACCACACCATAAACAACAACCGATACCTCAAAATAATACCCACAAAATTCCTTGACGAACACGCATACCAAAAGAGCTATAATAACACTAAGTACTAGCACGCCCGCTATAATCCCGTACAACGATTTCATAATGGGGTATGTGTGCTTTGAGATGTTCTCGGTGTTTCGTCTGATCACTGTTCGTCCTACATTACTCCACATGCTTCTTAAGAGACACACTGCTATTAAACAGTACTCGGCGGCAAATGCTCCTACATATGTTCTTGCAGAACCGAGATACGATAGGATAAGGTGTTCATCATCTGAAATAAATATGTTATTCAATGAAAAAATACATCAAACATCAATCGCTCAAAAACACAGTTACATAAGTCACACATTTTGACTATAATTATATAACTACTGTGATTTTCATTGGCTCTTTATTATTAGTTTGATTTATATCTTTATATACTTTTGTTCACTTAAAATACTTAACACAGTATAAATGATAATATGACATTTTTAAACATATATTAATTTCTTTTGGATAATTTAAAGTGCTTAATTTTATAGAAAATAATGTTATTTATATAGAATACCTTTTTACTTAAGCCTATGTATTTTTATATAATTTTTTAAATAAAGTATATTATCATTTAATTTGTGTATCTGGAGTATTCATACTGTGCATATTAGTATGGCAACCATACAGGAAACATAAAGGATCTTAGTAATGCAAGTCTGAAAGCTCATAAAACAATGTCAGCAACAGGATTTTCCCAAACAAGTTAGAGGAAACAATAACACGTCGATACTTATAACAACCTATATCAGATCCTACTATACTTTGTTAGCAAAGTGAACATCAGAAACAGGACAGAGGAAGATGTTAAATAACAAATTGCTATGGTATAAGTGGCATTCAATATTTTTACGATATATACTCATGCTTCCTACACTGTTGCTAAATTGTAAATCCAGAAAATGTACTATGTCACTGTTTTCAAATGTAAAATTTATCTGTCTATGAAAAGAGTTAAAGAAGCTTAGAATTTGAGGGAAATCATTGAGCTTGGCTAGTACTAGCTTGTCGTCAACAAAACGAGTATAAAACTTAATAGTACCTGATTCAATAAGTTTAAGAACAATAGACTCTTCTAGTTCAGTCATTAAAATATTAGCTAAAACTGTGCCAAGAGGCGAACCCATTGAGACACCATCAGTTTGCTTATAAAATTCATTATTACATGTAAATACAGTTTTAGTACAGCAGTCTTTAAGTAGTTTCCTCAGCGAATGTTTCCTAAGGCTAGTAGATATCAGTTTCTTATTGTAAACCCTATCAAGAATTATATTAATTACCTTAATGAATAAAAGTATAGCCGCGTTAGTCTGTACAGTATAGGACAATAAATAACAGCAGCACTTTTGAGACTAACAATATATAATTTATTCTCTAGCTTTCGTCCACACAGTGGACTTCATCAGGAGACTACCTTAGTAAGGGGAACATTTGTAAATAGAGATTCAACATCAAAAAGATACAAATCGGTAACCTAAGTTATATAAATTGTTTGGTATAGCTTTAATGCGGTCAGCAGCATCACAACAAAATCATTAACCGTTAGAGGGCCTAATAAGTTTGATAAGAACTTAGCTACTGAATAATAACAAGTACCGGTCGTGTCAATAATAGGTCTTAGGGGTGAAATATCAAAATCTTTATGTAATTTAGGTAGTCCATGGGCTCTTGCAGGCATGGTATTTAAAATAACGTCGTCGGAAAGTAATCCTTCTTACTGTAGATTTCTAAGTCCAATATGCTATACTATTACTTGAATTTCTGTTAACTAATATACATACAAATGTTCAAAATTTAATTTAATAATATTTATAGGTAACCATTTTAAATGGTATGATTAATCAAATTTGGTCCAAATTTATGACAAATTCTCATTAAATAAGTTTATAATATTATAGTTAAACATGGTTAGACCTACCTTGTGCAGATGAGTTAAAAGAAGGGTAAATCCCAGGGTTATAATAATCTTCCTTTGTATCATAAACAACAATGTCACACCAGAATACAATATTTGTGGACAGTAGGTGCATGATGCCGAACCTGAAAGAATACATTATCGCCAACGTGTTGATTAGTGCACATCAAAGATACTAGAAATACAAGATAGAGTTCTCGCATTGTAAAAATGAGGCGGAAGTTGTGCCCAACGTAGGCGGCGCCCTTCTTTTTAACCATGCAAGTTTCCTATACTTCGTGCCCAACGTACAGGGCGCCCTTCTGTTGCTAAGTATATACAGACGCAAAAGGCGCCCTTCCTTTTCCACAAATGGAGGAAAACTTGTTCACTAAGAGTGCGTCCGGCTATGCGATTCTGCACTGTATTGTTGTCTTATTCTTTACTGATTCATGATTATGCTTTAATTGTTTTGTGTATTATTTGGATAATAGCAACGATTTCTACCGCCACAAAGGAGGTTATGTATTCACCGATGTCACTGTCTGGGTGTCTATTCCAGTATACATCTTTGTTGAGAATTGATAATAAAATACGCGACGACTTGGTAACGAAAGTTTGGCACAAGTTTTTTTAGATCCAGCTGTAGGGGGCGTCCCATTTTTCGTATTCCCACCATGCATTTTGGTGGAACACGGTGGAACACCTTTTTTGTGTGGAGAATTCTATCTTGTATTTCTAGTATCTTTGGTGCACATTCAATCCCGAGGAGGGCGTAGGGGAAAGCTATTTAAGTAGGCCAAAGTTAAAACCTTCAAACATTTTATAAAGGCGTACTATTAAGTTTGAACTATTAGAAGATGATTGGCTGAGTAATTACACTAAAGAAACATCTTTCATTTTAAAATATCTTATGTTTTATGTCACATGTGTCATTTACGTCAAATAATTATTTTAAAAGTTTTTATTTCTCTTTCATTTTCTGCTTCATAGCATTTGTATCGGTTAATTAAATCATTTTGTTGTTTAGTTTATAACTTTTGGATTTATACTAATGCTGTCAGAAGAACCATTTAATAAGCAACTTTACTTTCTTTTTTTCTTTAAAAATATATTTGAATTGAATATGCGTTGGCTAATGTATACAATATTTAAAAATACGTAATGAACCCTTACCTTTTATAGATTAAACATTTTCTGAAACACACTTGGGAATATCTCTCCAAATAGATGAGTTGAGCAAAATAAAAACACACACACGTGATGCCCTCATATGTTATGTTGTATGGTATTATATAAAGCAAAGTCACTAAAGTCATAATCGTGTATATCACAGCGGCAACTCCAAAAAGACGGTTTGCAGCTTTAAAGAGTCAAAAATAAAACATAGATATATATATATATATAT